CGGCTTTGGAAAAAGGACCCCATACTCTGTGCATCTTATTGGTAGAATGTATCAGTGGGTGAGGGGTGTCCCTGAGGGAGCCAAGCTTTCTGGGTATAGTTGGGAAGCAAGGGGGAATGCATAGAAGCATAGAGAAATAGGGGTTACTACTTTATAATGTTATGCCCCCTCTTTTTTATTTCAGAAATACTGGACTAACTATAGATCTGGGATGTCCTTAGCTATATCAATACAGAGAGACTTCATCATATATGAAAATCTGAAAATGTGTATAATCCGTGATTTTAAAATCCTACAACTATCTATGCTTAGAGCAATGGTTTTCAGGTTTTGGTGTATATTAGAATTACCTGATGATTAATAAAGAATACAGAGGTGGCAAGCTGGTTGAAGGACAGCATCTGCCCAGCCTTTTCATTTTTATAAAGCATGCTAAGTGATTCTATTAACAAAGTTTAAGGACCACTGCCCTAAAGCAGAGGGTAAAAGACTACATCCTAAAAAACAAATCCAGCCACTCCCTGTTTTTGTAAACCAAGACTGGTTAGAATATCGTCTACCTAATAGGTACCATCTATGACTCTTTTTGGACTAAAACAGCAAGGCTGACTAATTGCAATGGAGACCAAAGACCAAATGGTTGCAAAACTGAAAATATTTACTATACATCCCTCTACAGAAAAGTTTGCCAACTCTAAAACACTTTGTCCTGGGACACATATATAAGGACATTTCCTTTGGCAATGCTTGTCATCATGAGATTTTAAACGATCTTCAATGTATATTATAGAATAAACATATAGATGATGGTATATGCATATAATGGAATACCACATGACAGGTGAAAATTATTAGATCTTTGTGTATTACTAGATCTTTATGTATTAGCATAGAGAAAAAATCAAGTGATATGTACAGCATATTTTATGAGTATTTTTAGACAATGCACATAAAATATACATAGAAATAAAAAATTAATGACATATTCCAAATCTATAATAGTTGTTTCCTGTGAAAAGGAATCATAGCAAAGGAGACAGGGAAAAGAACAAAACAGAACTCAACTCCACCTGTATATTATAACAAATGGTTGAGATACTGGTTGAGATGTCAACATTCCATATAGAAGTACCTGGATTTGCATCCTGGTTCTGACTCCCAATTCTAGCTTCCTGCCAATGCAGAGCCTGGGAGGCAGTGGTAACAGTGATGTATCTCTGGCTCTCCCCCAAGTAATTTTTTTAAAAAAGAAAAAATACAACAAAAAATACTAAATGTAATCATTTTCATTCCTTTGTTTGTTGGGTGACTTACTTTTTTTTAAATAAAAAATAACCATCAATAGTAGATATGTTTGATTCTATGATATTCTTTTTCTTTACCTCTTATGTTCCAAATAATATCAAATGAATGCATATTTTTGACCTTCATTTTAAATGAACTTGAGTGGCAGACAGAGCTAATTGCATACTCAATATCCATTCTCCCCTTCATCCTACTTATGCTCAACAAAGCACTACATTTCCCAGGCTCTCTCACCTACAAAGGTGGTCACATGGCAGAGTCCTGATCAAGGAAACAGGGAGGGAAACTGCTGGATGCAGCATTTTGGAAAACCCTTTGACGGAAAGCAAGCCTGACAGGCCTTCCCCTTTGCCCATCTCCTTTCACTTACTTCCTTGTTTGAACGAAAATGTGAAAATGTAATTTTATGTATAGAGGTGCAGCACTTAGGTATGAGCACGGATCAAAAGCTACTACTTACTGAAGGACAGACAGGGTGCAAAGCCAGGAGGAACCTAGGTACCTGTGGGCATTCTAGCACCACTGCACCAACCCTGCACTGAGAACCTCAAATCCTTCCTGTACATGAAAACAAAAACAAAAACAAAAACAAAACCTAACACCTTAACTGTTTATACTTGTCTCTCGGAAACACAATGCCACCCTCAACTGATTCATCTTGTTACAATGAAATTTTAACAAGTGATACCACTGAAAGACATTTTCAAAGTGATATATTGTCTGTACCACTTTCAGATGAGAAAAAAATGAACTTCATCAAAAATGTTGAAGGCTCCAAACCAGCCTGTGTCAGAACAAAAAATAGAAGTTAATTTTTCCCAAACACTAAAATCAAGTCTACTTTCATGACCCAGTTTGAAAATAATTTGTTTAACATTTCATATGTTTTTTGTCAAATAGCATTCCTAAAAATTACATATAGTGCTAAAAAAATAGTGTTCATCCTTTTGTTAACCATAGGAAAATCTGTAATTTGATGTTACTCAAAATTAGTATTCAGACTAAATGACATTAGTTTCATTTGGTTATTATTCCTAAAGATCAAACAACCCATAAGAAGGATAAAGAGTCAGGAAATTTCCTAAATCTATATATATGAAATAAATAAAACCTGAATAACTTACATAAAATTAAAAAAAAGAGTCAGAAAATTTACACATGGTATTTGAATTCTTACTTCAGCCTTCAAAAGCAACTGATTCTAGCCCTTTAATTATAAACTTACAGGGAAATAAAAAAAAAAGTTTGTATTGCACAAATATGTTTGCTTTCTACAAATAGAGTTCATTTCCATCAAAGAATAAGACTTGATGTATCTTTTATCCTTAGATAGAAGAAATTTCTTGACCTGTTAGCGGGGTTCTTGAATGCCAGTGCTTTTTGGCAAACTCCTCCTGGATTCCATCATTTAACAAAATCCAAATGCTTCTGCTGGGGATCTGCCCAGAGAAGACAAACAACAGTTCACAAGAGCCTGGACTTTCTTCTCTTTCCTTTCTTCATTTTTTTTTCCTCTTAAGATTTATTTATTTATTTGAGAGACTGAGCTACAGATACAGAGAGGGAGAGACAGAGAGACAGAGAGGTCTTCCATCCACTGGTTCACACCCCACATGGCCTCAACAGCCAGAGCTGGACTGATCCAAAGCCAGGAGCCAGGAGCTTCTTCTAGGTCTCCCACGTGAGTGTAGGGTCCCAAGCACTTGGGCCATCTTCCACTGCCAGGCTATTAGCAGAGAGCTGGATCAGAATAGGAACAGCCTGGACATGAACCAGCACCCCTATGGGATGCTGGTGCCACAGGCAGAGGCTTAACTTACTATACCACAGCACTGGCCCCTCTTTTCTTGTCTGTGGCCCCTCTTTTAGATGTTTTATTGTTTCTTTAGTCCTTTGCTGAAGAGAAACACATGTATAATTCTCTGTTTCCAGATCTAAACTTCTCAGAAAAACACTTTCATCAAGAATGACACAAATTTGTCAAGAAAAACAAAGGTTTTTGCCAAAATGACTATGTTTCAGTGTCTGAGGTAACAGGACCATTTGAGTGCTCCTTAGATATGCTATAAAGGCTTTCACTACATCACAGCTGCCCTTGCTGGATTCTCCATGTCAGTGATATCCAATTTCTCTATCTAGGCTGGGGCCAGGTTATCAAGAAGGAGGTACCCAGACTATTTTATATTCTGTAGGTGGTAGTTGGTAGTCTCTGGGAAATTTCAAAATTCTATCTGCAATTAGAAAAGAAAAGGGCACTGAATTTTGAAATAGTTCAAGCACCAATGTGTAAGCGCCACCAGATGGGGATATGACTCTCTGGGAGAAAAGGTAGAGGGTAGAACTTCAATTTTTCAAATGAAAAAAGTATTTTCTAGATTTCCAAGACATAAAAATAATGGTTATTTCTGGGATGATGTATGCAAAAGGACTTATTTCTCCTGGATTCGTTAGTAGCAAAAATGAAACACTTCTCTATATTTTTCACTAAAGATTTGCAGTCATCCAAAGCAACATCTGTAAGTGTTCTTCTGGTCTTCAGGACTCGTAGTAATAAAGTTGTCAACTTGGTGCTCTACCTATAGCCATTCAAAAATTATTTGTTGTTATTTCTGATAATCATCATAGAAAGGCTGTTGGGTTAGCATGGTGTAAAAAAAAAAATGGGTGCAGACTGTTTTAGGAGAGTTTGGCTCCACACTTCCAGTCTGTGTGTGCCTGAGTATATCCCTTCATCTCTTCAAGCTTAGTGTCACATGCATTAAAGGGAATAATACTCACTTTATCTGAGGAGGTTATTGCAAGACTGAGATAAAGGACATGAAATTAATTTGCATACTATGTAAGTTTAATTAAAGACAAACTATTAATATTATTACTATTACAATGCTAAATCCTACCAATTCAACTGAGTATAGTACTTTCATTTTTAAAAAAACACCCTTGGTTTTCCACAAGATTTCCATGTTTTTTCTGAGTTTTTATGAAATTAAAATTCAGAAAGTCTTTTGAGGAAAAGGCTATTTCTAAGCATGCTCTGGACCCAATGTAAGTTATGCTTTGGGCCTTCTCCATATTTTAAAAAATAAATATTTAAACAAATGAAAAGCAAATGAATATACTCCATAACATGTGAAACAGATAAATTTAAATAATTTATTAGGAATTAAAATGAACTCTCAAAGGGAAATATATCACTAAGGGAAACTAGAAGAAAAAGTAGATAGGCCAGGCTAATGAGATTTCATGTTCACTGTAGGATAATTTTATAGCTTCTCTGTTACATTTCATGCATATTCCATCTGTATGAATATATGGATGTGCAAATATGAGTGTTCATGTGCATATGTACATGTGTATTTCTATACAGAGGAACTAGAATAGAATGTTTTTAGTCTGTGTTAAATAGAGTTTTCAAGCACAAGAAATAGATACACTCAGGGTTCTCACCCAGCTTAACTACTGAGATTTCTTGTCTGACATTTTGCTTGTTGGTACCAACACCAACATCCCTGCTCAGCTCTAGAAGACAGATTAAGCTGATGGCCTTGTAACAGGATTCCTCACATTCAGGGAACAGCTTTCCTGAACAAAGTATTTTATTTGGACAGTCTTTAAACCGTTGTTGGAATCTATCTAGAAAAAAAACCACATAATTTCCTTCAATTATTCTTTATGTTTAATCATCTTTTACTCACCACTGGCATTCGTTCATAGGCACGAATAGAAAACAGTCTATCTAAAATGAAGCACACATGAGCAATTGATATTTTATCAGACTTTTCTATTATTTTTGAAATATTTAAAATCCTTTTACTATTTATTTGAAAGACAGAGAGACACAAAAGAAAACAGAGACAGATAGAAATCTTCCATCCAGTAGTTCACTCCCCAAATGCCTGCAACAGTTGGATCTTGGCCAGGCTGAAATCGGGAGCCAAGAACTCAATCTGGGTCTCTCACATGGGTGACAAAAACCCAGTTAGTTTTGCCATCACTTGTTGCCTCCTAGCTTATTATCAGGAAGCTGAAATCAGAAAAGCTGAGATTTTAATAATTTTTTTAAAAAGTCTGTAAAAAATAAACAGAAAAAAAGAAGGTGAGGCACTCTGATATGGGATGTGGGCATCCCTAGTGCCTTCTTAACCATTGCACCAAATGCCCACCCCTATTTTATTATTTTTAACTCAATTTATAACACAAATATATGATTGCTTTCGTACCTGAAGGATTTCCACGGATTTTTTCCATTTTGTCTTCCAGAGAAACAATTTGTTTTTCTAGCTGATCATTTAGTTCAAGTTGTGTCTCATAACGGATTTTCCATTCACCACCTGAATGAAAAGGAGGAAAATTAAGATCATCCTACCAACTCTCATTTATTACAGTAACCTGAATAAGTTCAGTTTTACTCTGTTACTAGACTTTATCAGCAATACAGATGAAGCATAAGGCAAGTTTTCAAGTTTATTTCTATGTCAGATAGGATTTTCCAGATTGTAGGGATTAGACCTACACTCAGGTTTCCATACAGCCAGATCTCACCACAAATACTGTGATTCAATGTTCTTCCTTTCTTCCTATCTCTCTTTCTCCCCCTTGAGTATTCCAATAATGAATTCCATTAGATGGAGTATCAGGAATGTGTTTTTTCCCTTGGAACTTGAAAACCCATGTATTAAAAACCCTAAACAGTACTAACCTTCCATCCAATGTCATACTCATCTTTTTCTTTGCAAAAGAACTCTGAAATCAGTTTAATGATTGCCACCTGCATATGTGCTACACATAATGTTTTACATATATTAACTGATTTAATCCTCAATTTAAAAACCTATTTACAAATTAAGAAATTGAGGCTGTCCAGTGGGGCTGGGGTGGGGGGGGGCGGTCTGTGGGCCCCTCAGACATAGGTAGAATGTCCTTCACAAGCAGGCTGCCAGCTGAGGCTGGAAAGCTGTCTCCAGACCTCTGGTATCTCCCTCACTAACAGCTGCCTGTGCTGCATGTGTGACCTTGTGGTTTTAAATCATGCCTTCAAGTTAGTTGCAATCTTCCACCCAGAACTAGCAGAGGAGGGGGCTGAACCCCTAAGGAGGTGGGCTGTTTCCAGGGGACCCCTGCTATCTCCATGAGCCACAAGCCAATCAACATCCAGTATATGGACTCCTCCTCCTCCCACTGCCGCCGTCCAATGGGCACCCCCACAGAATGCCTTATAAAACCCTGGGCACTTCCTGAAAGCCAGCATCCTGGTTGGGCACTCCGCCTGATATCCTCAGGCCAGACACTTTTCTGTCACTTGCCAATCAAATAGAAGTATCTACTTCTTTGAAAATTGTTTCCTGTCTTTTTATTTTTATACTGGGCTGAGGAAAAGAACCTATGAAACTTGCTCTTGCAACTGCCCTCCCCTCCATGACTGGTAACAGAAATCAAGGCTCAAAGATGCTGAATAATATTCTGAAGATGGCAGAGCTAATAAACGGGGGAACTGGAGCTTAAACCTAGTTTTATCTGACTAGAAAGTACATCTTTCTTAACCTTTAAACTTCTAAGCTACAGTAACACAGACATTTAGCTCTCCACTCAAGCGTTTTCTCTTATCCTTCTGCAGGTTCCTTTCAGTAAACTCCTTTGGCTGTCTTTTTGTTCTAAAAGGGGAAGAATAATACAGCCTAGAATTGAAAGGGTCTTTGTTCAGCTTTAAGGCCCAAAGCTAACTTTCCTGAGTCTTCAAAGTTGGGCTTTGGAAGGAGGTCGGGGAGAGACAGCTTATTTAATTTCAGATACCTGAGATAACTTCTGCTACATGTTAATAGAGGAGTCTGAGAGAGAGCACTAGCTCACACCACTACCAACCTCCTCATCTGGGACACAGGTCTCCCTTACACATTCACCTCCTCACAAACGTGGTCTACCAAAGAAAGGGAAAAACACCCTCCCTAACTGAAACTGAAAGTCATTATTCCAAACGCTTTATGGAGTGAGAAGTCGGCACACTTATCCAAAAGATTCAATTGAGCCAAAACAGGTAACAATTCATTAAGACCTTTATATGTAATTGCATAAAAATAATGAGTATACAGCCTGCCAAAACTTGCAGCCATGGTTGACTTACATGACTAATAACAAAGTGAATCTGTTGGAATTTCTGATACCTTACAAATGAATGGAAGCCCACAAAACTGGTGATTAAAAACATTTTTTCTTTTCACACGACAGCATTGGATCCCACAAATGATGTCAACTTCCTAATTATCAACTGTCAACTGTTTTATTTTTCTAAAACAGGGCCACACTGAGTCTTACTTTTCCTATCATACTTTGTTCTGTGGTTACACAAGAATACTGAAAATACTAACGTCTGTAATATTTGCATCATTCTTCATCTGCCTTTAAAATGCAGTGATATTTATGTTTTCTCCTAGGAATAAAACTGAGAGCTAAAAATAGCAATGTTTTGGAACAGACTTGATAGTAAAGGAAGTTCAGTACCTCCTGCAACCAGCCTACAAAAAAGGAGTGGTATAGTCTCTGAGACTGCCACGATGAATTTGACAACAAAAAAGAAAATCCCTTACCTTGAACACAACAGCAGTCAACCTAACAAGGCCTAAGATGTACTTGTAATAAGATGTCCTTTAAAATACAGATTAAAAGGTTAGATTTATTAGAAATATTTGTGTCTCTTCGAGGGGGAAAAAAAGAGAAAAGAAATACCCAAGTAATAACTCCAGTAAATCACTGCTCCTACAGTAGCAACTCTAAAATAAAGAAAAAGTCAAATGGTTTTGCAATCCTTGGCTAGGCTTACTTCAAGAAAAATAAAAACAATACAAAAAATTGAAAACTTATAAAATGGTCAATTTTGTGAATTGTCTTTGGAAGGGGAGGTTCATCAAGAAGAAAATTAGGTAGAGCCCTATTTCTTAGACATGGATTTTTGCTCTTTTCTCTCTATCTCTCTCTCTCTCTTTTTTTTTTTTTTTTTTTGCCATGGAGACAATGCAACAATGCTAACAAAACAAAAAGGCCCCATGAAGAATAATGTCAAGTAATATTCTTTAAAAGTTAAAAAGAACATAATTCATTGAAAATTGACTCTATGTCTTAGTCTGTTTTGTGTGGACAAAATACCTGAGATTGCATAATTTATAAGGAACAGAAATTCATTTTCTCAGAAGTCCAAGATCAGGGGGCTGGCATTTGGCCTGGTAAGGGCCTTGCTGTATTCTCACACTAGGGAAAGCAGAAGAGCAATTTAACCCAATACTACAGGAGCCCTCTTCATTTGGGCGTTAATCGCAATCACAAGAGAGGAACCCTCAAGGCCTAATCAACTCTAAAAGGCCCCACTTCTCAGTACCATCATATGATAATCACTGGATTTTGGAAGGAATACATTTAACCATAGCATCCTACACAGACTTTAATAATAACTCAAGAATGTGTGGCTCACTGCATTTATAAACATTTGAGCAATGAAGTTATATTATTTCAAAAATACTCAGGAAAATAAAATATTTTCAACAAGGGAAGGAAAAAGCCTCCTGTGGCACTGTACCAGGCAGTAGGGATACAAAAATAAACAGTATGTGTGGTCAACCAGTAGTAGGACTAGTCAGGAGAAAAAGACAAAAAAAAAAGATGTTTTCTAATGTCAGAACATTAGAGATAATTTTCTGTTAAGTGGTTGCTACAGAAGACACAGCAAGCCATCCAATCTGGAAGGTGACAGGAGGGAATTAAACATGGAGAGGTCGAGATCAAAGGTCAGGAAATACTTTAAATGCTTTGCAGGGGAAATGACTCTCATCCCAGCCAGAAAAGGAGAGAACTTAATTCAAGAACAGCATAAACTAAACCAATAAAGTCCAAAAAACCAACATGTAAAAAACAGGAGGGGATATATTAATGCAAATGTATCTCTTATGCGTAAACTTGCTCCTCTATCAATTTCTAGGCAATTTAATGGAGGAAAAAAATAATATCTGAAATAGGATTTGGGTTTGAGACATGTCTCCATCACTTACCAGATTATATATGTGATTTGGAGAAAGTTCTTACCTTTTTTATGCCACAACTTCTCATCTGCAAAATAAGGATAATTAAAATTCCTGTCTTAGCAGATACTAAGATTAATTAAAATATGCAAAATGCTTAGAACACTGTAGAGCATGCAAAAAAAAGCTATAAAATTAGCTGTTGTTAATATTTTCATCATCATTATAAGAAATTTATACTGAGGCCGGCACTGTGGTGCAGCGGGTTAACGCCCTGGCCTGCAGTGCCAGCATCCCATATGGGCGCTGGTTCTAGTCCCAACTGCTCCTCTTCCAACCCAGCTCTCTGTTATGGCCTGGGAAAGCAGTAGAAGATGGCCCAAGTCCTTGGGCCCCTGCACCCACGTGGGAGACCCGGAGGAAGCTCCTGGCTCCTGGCTTTGGATCGGCACAGCTCTGGCCATTGCAGCTATTTGGAGACTATACCAGCAGATGGAAGACTTCTCTCTCTTTCTCTCTTTTTCTTTCTCTCTCTCTCTCTCTCAGCCTCTGTCTCTCTAACTCTGCCTTTAAAATAAATTAATAAATCTTAAAAAAAAGAAAAAAGCTTGTCCCAAAAGTGCTTTCCAAAGGGATAGCACTTTACTGCCACTAATAATGCTTAAAGGACTGATTCATTTTTTTTAAATCTCTACTTTTTCAATTAACAAGCTGTATATGTTTCAATTCAAATTTCTTTGACTAAAAGACAAACTGACTGTTCTATACTCACAGATTTTCTCTTTTTGTCCTATTCATATTTATCTATTAGAAACAGTGTTTTCTACTTGAATTATAGAGAACATAGCTATAGTTAAAAATCTATGCCTTTTGTCCATAATCTCGGCTATCCCACAGTGCTATCTGGCTTCTCATATAAGCCTTTCATTTCAAGCAAAGGACAGCTACTTTTCTGAAGTCAAACATACGTATAATTTTCTCAATGATTCTTTTCTGACTCCTAAACTAAGAAAGGCCTTCTTTATTCATAGACAGATATAGACTCATGAATACTTCATATATTTTTAAAATATTCAACTCCATAATCCATGTAGAAATTTTTAGTATTAAGTATGAAGTGAGGAGCTAAATAGTTTTTTCAACTATTATAACAATTTTCAAAAAAGAACTTAATAACATCACTTTCATTCTTTTTATTTATTTATTTATTTATGTATTTTGACAGAGTGGACAGTGAGAGAGACAGAGAGAAAGGTCTTCCTTTACTGTTGTTTCACCCTCCAATGGCCGCTGTGGCCGGCGCACCATGCTGATCCAAAGCCAGGAGCCAGGTGCTTCTCCTGGTCTCCCATGCGGGTGCAGGGCCCAAGCACTTGGGCCATCCTTCACTGCCCTCCCAGGCCACAGCAGAGAGCTGGCCTGGAAGAGGTGCAACCGGGAGAGAATCCGGCGCCCTAACCGGGACTAGAACCCGGGGTGCTGGTGCCGCAGGCGGAGGATTAGCCTATTGAGCCGTGGCGCTGGCCATCACTTTCATTTTTGATTCTAATTCCCTTCCCAGAAGGCCTTTCCAAACTGGACAAAGTTCTTTTTTGGTGGCAGGTAGAGAGAGAAAGAGACAGAGAGAAGGAGAGGGGGAGGTAGAGAGCGGGAGAGAGAGGGAGAGAGAGAGAACATTCCCATCTGCTGGTTAACTCCACAAATGCCCTCAGTGTCAAAGCCAGGAGCCAGGAACTCAAAAGAGTGGCAGGAACCCAATTATTTGAGCTATCACCACTGCTTCCAGCATCTGGATTAGCAGGAAGCTGGAATAAAGGACTGGAGCTTGGACTTGAACCTAGGTACTCCAACGTGGAACAAAAGTATCTTAATCCGTAAGTCAAAAACTTTTACCAACAATATTACATTTCAGTGGTGGAAGCAGGCATCTTTGTTCTCCAGGAATGAAAATGCCTGTATTGTTTCCTCATTATGTATTTTTGCCAGGTTGAGATAAGTGGATGTATTCTTTTCTTATTTTTTTAAATGAGGAAGACCAACTGAATTTTAACAAAAAATTCTTAACATTGACTGAGGTTAAGTCTTTTTTTTAAGGTCTGATCTATCAAATGATTACCTAATAGCCAAAGAGATTTAGTAACAGGAACTATAAATAAAGATTTTAAAGAAGTCAACAGAGAGGTTCAGGATGGAAATTCCTATTTGATTGTTGTCAGTCTACACTTGGTGTTTAACATCATATGACCACAGATTACCTAAGTAGGGGTGCATATATCAAAGATTATTCAAAGGACTAAGCCCTTGGGCACTTCAAATGTTTAGAAACTGGGAAGATAAAGAGAAATGATAAGTGTCCAGTAGATAGGAAGATGACTAAGAGAGTGGGATGTCCCAGAAGCCAAGTGAACAAAGGGATTCAAGTTTGAGGCTGTGATCAATTGTGGCAATGCTGCCAACAGGTCAAGCATGATGAAGACAGAATTGACATTGGAATTAGCAAACAGGAACTCATTGGTGACCTTGACAAGAGCAGTTTCACTTGACTGGAGGCAAAACTTCTGATTGTAGTAAGTTCACAAGAGAATGAGACAACCCTGCGTGTACTGGCCTTTTCTACCCATGTACAAGCCAATATCCCAGAGCCTGAGTAAACCAAAGTTCTCTTCTCTAGATAAAAAAAGAAAAAAAAAGGAGGAGCAAACTGAAGTTTAGGAGAAGGGAAGAAAAAAAGGCTAAGAATATGGGATTTCATTCCAGAATGCCTGGATTCAAATTCCAGATGTATTACCTCCAGAGTCTTGAGAATACGTGAGTTTTGTTTTGTTTTGTTTTGTTTTGTTTTTTTTTGACAGGCAGAGTTAGAGAGAGACAGAGAGAAAGGTCTTCCTTCCATTAGTTTACCCCCCAAATGGCTGCTACGGCTGGCGCACTACACTGATCCAAATCCAGGAGCCAGGTGCCTCCTCCTGGTCTCCCATGTGGGTGCAGGGCCCAAGCACATGGGCCATACTCCACTGCCTTCCCGGGCCACAGCAGAGAGCTGGACTAGAAGAGAAGCAACTGGGACAGAATCCGACACCCCAACAGGGATTAGAACCTGGGGTACCGGTGCCGCAGGCGGAGGATTAGCCAAGTGAGGACTGACCTCAGCTTTTTTTCATTTGAAAATGTGGTAGTAATACTTTTTTCAAGGGCAGTTTCAAGTTCTCAGGTTGGTTTTTTTTTTTTTTTTAATGCACTTACTTACAGCTCTACACACATACTGACTCTTCTCATTTAAAAAAATCAAAAAGGTTACCTGAACACTTTCCTTTCTGTTCTTTGTTGGTAACCTTTAAGATAATGGAATTCAGATTTAACTAAAACATAAAACCACTTTTTCTGTTTGTAATTCTCTATGAATCACAAAGGACTTTAAGAGGTCACCATGGGAATGTGAAATCCTTTGGAGTTGTTGTGATTAAAAACTAATCCAGTTACAAGCCAGATTAGATGAAGCAAAAATAAACAAATGAGAAAGAGTAGAAGAGTTTTGCTGTACATGAGGCAAAGTGAAAGGAGATATAATAGAAAGGGAATGGTTTGGCATTTTCTTTACAGAAATTCTCCATGTTTCTGTGTTGTTGAGAATGATCCAGGGGAGCAGGGGAAACAGATGGTGCAGGAAAGAGAGAAAATCATGGCGGTTCTGAATATAAGAGAGTGGATGTCTGATTACATAAATGGAAGGGTTAACCAAAGATAAGAATAGAGACCGATTATCGACAGAAACAGGAGGGAAGAGGATGTACAAGGATGCAGGTGGGAGGCTAGCTTTGTCAGTAGAATCATGTGGGTGACCTCTTTTGATTGCTTCTCTTTCCTTTTTGAAAGAGAAGGGTAAATTATTCAACTGAGCATAAGAATGGCCAGAGGGGTACAGGCTTGAGGACAGTGCAAATTTTGAAAGAATTATTTTAACAATGAGTATGTTAATATTTATCACTTGTGCATGTATTTCCTTTACATGTTAAAAATACATTTATTATCAAGTACTTTAATGGGTTCCATTGCCTTCAGGATAAGTATAAACTATTAGCATCATATTAAGGACTTCTTGATTTGTCTCCTTCATAAACTTTAATCTCACCTCCCATCATATTGTCGTGATATGTCATGACAACCTATGTTCCATCTTCATTGATTACTTTGTACTCTCCCCTAATGGCTTTATGTTTAATGCCCTTTGACAGACTGTAATTTTCCAAAGATGACTACACTAACACATCACATCCCATATGTTTTTCTGTAATGTGAACCTGACAAGCAGATTCTACTTCTCTATCTCCTTGAATTTGTGACTCTTTTGACCAATAGAATACAGTGCCAGTTTGGGGAATGGTCCTTAATTGGCCTGGAAGTTTCTACTTCTGTCTTTGGAATGCTTGCTGTTGGGATACATCTTTTTGAAACCCAAAGACCCTGTTGTGCAAAATAAATGATAAAAGAGGAATTTATGATAAGCAGTCCTAGTTGGGCTCCCAGTTAACAACCAGTGTCAGATGCCTACCATGTGAGTGAGTCATCTTGGAATGAACAGCCCAGTTGAAATTTCAGGTGACTAAGCCCTATACAACATCAGACTGAAACCATACGTGAGACCCCAATCAAAACTCATGTATGTGAACACAATCAATTCACCAAATTGTGAAAGCTAACTGGTTGCTGAAACTCCAAAGTTATAGGGTGGTTTGCTACACAGCACTGTATTAGCAGTACTATTTTGAGAGCTAATTTGGTAGACAGTAATTGTAGCAATAATAGTAGTAATGGTAGATAGGTAATCTAGGATCAAATCATGGATCTGAAACTCCCTGGCTATATAACCTTAGAAGTTGATTAAATTTCTTTTTTCCATAACTGGGGCTAATAATAACCTCCTCACTTAACCTTGATTCATTGTTAAGGAAGGGGTAAATATTTCTGCAGTTCATCTTAGGCTTTTAGCTTTGGCCTAAAGGGAAAGGAACTTCCTCTCCTACTATTGTAATGACCTTTTCTCTAGACCAACAAACTAACCCTCCACATAAGAGCTGTTGATTGATAACAACTTGTTGAGCAATTTTTTACCAGCAAGCATAATTATTGCATTGCATATATATCTGTGACCATCGCTTATGCTTTTTCTGTAACTGGGTAGGTGAGGAAATTCCAGCTCTCTGCCAGTGCACTTGTTAAATGTATTCAGTCTGTCCCATAGGGCTAGTTGCTTCTAAGATACAGATGTAGAGATACAGGAGGCTGCTTCACTCTGGGAAAAAGCAGCAGTCTCTAACCAAGCACTTTTTTTTTTTAGCTAAATGATTTAGTTTACTTATTTGAAAGGCAGAGTTGGGGAAGAGGAATATCGTCCATCTGCTGGTTGCTGGTTCACTCCCCAAATGGCTGCACTGGTTGGAGCTGGTACAGGCTGAAGCCAGAAGCCTGGAACTCCATCCTGGTTTCCAACATGGGTGATGGGGGTCTAAGTACTTGGGTCATCTTCACTTGCTTTCCCAGGTGCAATAGCAGAGGGAGCTGGACTGGAAGCAGAGCAGCAGGTGATCCAATATCAGATGTCAGTGTTGCAGGCAGTGGCTTAATCCATTGCGCCACAATGCTGGCCTCTCTAACCAAGGTTAATGGAAGCATTATGTATTTATAAAAAATGGCTTTTAATCTCTCATATGACTACTAACCCTTTTTGCTTATGGCTCCCTAACAGAGGAAGAAAACCATATAAATAGGTGTAAGAATCAAAGTCCACCAATAACCCTAATAAACTCCTACTGTTCTTCAATATTCAGTTCAAGTGCTTCCTCCCCTGGAAAAGTTGTCTTTATGCCCACACCCAGGCTGTGTCAGCTTGCCTTCAGAGTTCCCAGTTCTCCTTTTACAGAATTTACATCACTTCTTACATTCATATTTTGCTTTAACACGTTCTCCCAGTGAATCTCTTTAGAATAGGGAAAAGACAATTTTTTTTTCAGAATTAAATTTTATTTCACATTGATAGAAACTGTGGAAAACATTTACATTTTCCCACATCACAGCATAACATTTCAATGGAATATTTCTTGCCATAAATAAGATTTTGCTGACTTATATAACTGAAACAACAGTTTATATTCTTTAAGGTAAAGCAAAATTACTCAGTAAATGATTGTTTAAAATTTTTAAATCCAGACATATATATATATCCTATATAGTTCATTAATAATTATTTTCATTACCAATTAGCACCCATTTATAAAGATGCATTCTTAACATTGTTTGGTCAGTTGAAATACAGCAGAAAAATTAACACAGTTCAGAAATATCAAGCATTCATTTTTGCTACAAATTAAACTGTGTGGTAAATATACCACAGTACATGGTTCTGATTAATGTTTATTACTCATAAACTTGTTTTCAATAATTTTTTTCAGTAATCTTGAAATTTTGATTATTTAAAATCAGATGATTGCTGTTTTTATGTCAGTACAGAAAACTAATCATTAAAAATCATTTGACTAAATGAAAACTTAAAATAAGTTCACTGACAGAAAAAAACAACTTTTTCTAATGGACTGCTTGTTTCCCACAGTAGCTGGTTTGAAACAACTATACAAAAAACAAACTATGCTACCAGGAGATGAAATAATTTCAGAAATTAGTTTTTTAGATTGTTCTTAACTATCTCAGAAAATACTACAATATGACCTAATTATTCTTTCACTTACATACAGAAAAATAAAAACACAGAATGATTTGTTACCTGGATTGAAGACTGTATTCTAATCACTGACCAGGTCTAAGTTTACACTAATGTACAGTTGTTTGAAATAAGTTATACAGAAAGTTTTATGTAACAGTTGTTTTCTTTTAAAGTGTAAATAGATTTTCAATACCATAGATCTGTGACTCAGAATATCAAATTACAGCATTATTGACAGTAGATTCTATGGCAGGAAAACAGTATTTGGTCTGCTATAAAGCAAAATCAAGAAAGAACACTTTTTTTCTTGAGGGGAAAAAAGAATATTAAAGAGAAATGACATCAGGGAAAAGTCTGGTCCCCAAAATAAAAGGGCCATTATTTGAAGAGAACAGTATTACTCTTTTTTTTTTTATAAGGTTTGTGGTGTTTTTGTTTTGTTTTGTCTTGTTTTTTGTTGTTGTTGTTTGTTTTTTACAGGCAGAGTGGACACTGAGAGAGAGAGAGACAGAGAGAAAGGTCTTCCTTTGCCGTTGGTTCACCCTCCAATGGCCGCTGTGGCCAGCGCGCTGCGGCCGGAGCACCATGCTGATCTGATGGCAGGAGCCAGGTGCTTATCCTGGTCTCCCATGGGGTGCAGGGCCCAAGGACTTGGGCCATCCTCCACTGCATTCCCTGGCCACAGCAGAGAGCTGGCCTGGAAGAGGGGCAACTGGGACAGAATCCGGTGCCCCGGCCGGGACTAGAACCTGGTGTGCCGGCACCGCAAGGCGGAGGATTAGCCTAATGAGCCATGGCGCCGGCCACAATATTACTCTTTACTGACACTTAAAAGCATTATTCCTATTATTAGGAATAATGTAATACCTTCTCCTTCTTATGTATTACAATCATTACATATGAGTGCATATAAAAAAAAATCAGACAGTGCATGGTGACTAAGCAACTTCGGAATAAATCCACAGACTAAGTCACAGCATGCAAAAATCTTATATCTTAACTGCTTATTCATATCTGCATAAATTTTCCTTAAGCATACTGTTAATTCTCAAATCATGTAATAAAAAATCTGACTGAAGTATTTTATTATTTTGCTAAGTTACAGTTAAGAAAAAGAAGCTAGCTGCTTCACCTATATTAATACCAATATATTGTGGATCATATTTTACAAATATACGTATAGAAACTGTCGCTCCCCCTCTTCGTGGAGGAACGACACAGGACCCTGCGCTGTTCTTTCGTCTGCTCGGCCCTCCCCGGGTTTGCTGCTGGTTCTTCCTGGGTTGGCTGCCGTCCCTTCCACCTCCGTGGAAGGGCGGTTCCCCCTGGCCACTTTCCCCACTTCCGCAGGGGAGCGGCACACCGCCGGCCGGCTCTCTCGGGGGCTGCACAGGTGTTCCCCTTAGGTGTTCCCCTTAGATGTTCCCTGGTGCATGCGGTCTCTCTCCTCCTTTATAGTCCTCCTCTGCCAATCCCAACTCGGCTGCCCACACGCCGAGTACGCTGCTCTCCTCCAATCAGGAACAAGTCCTACAGTTTATTGGCTGAACTGGAGGCAGCTGTGTAGAAGCTGTTTCCCTTCTCAGCGCCATATTGTGGGAGAGCAGATGCATAGAATAAGTCCTAATTCCAGCAACAGTCTAGTCCGAGCTGCTCTCCACAGAAACTGAAATATCATATATTTCCTATGAGGAGACATTATTTAGTCAGTGTCATTGGTGTGTAATTGCAAAACATTTTAACACTTGCAAACATTAGAAGTTTCAAGACTGGGCACAGGGAAAAGTTTATGCTTTACTACAATGATGCTAGTATACTTCTACACAAGGCCTCTTAATCATGTCAATCAATTGGAGGTAGGAGTTTATCAATGAATTGCTTGACATCCATCATTTCCTGCTGACATGAACTGTGCATCATGCCTTCATAGGGAAAAGACAAATTTTATAACCAAAATATTCAAATATGACAAGATCTCAATCAATATTTACAGAATGAAATTAATAGTCTGTGTATATTATAAATAAAAATGGTGTATGTGTGTGTGAGTGTATAATCTCCCACCCCTGCAACATACATTCTTCTGACAAATAGCCAAAATGTAGATATGAATTTTGAAGTTATACCCTAAATCCAGAAGTTAAAAGAGCATGACTTAAGTTTAATATAAAAAATGGTATTTTATTATTTACTGAGGAAATAATATATCAGTATCACATAGCAAAATGTTTGCTAATTGATGAACATTTTGAATTTGTAATATATAGAAAAATAATTATACAGTAATAGGTTGGATGTTCTGAAATACCAGTCTTAAGGCCTTTTATAATAAATTATTAATGCTACCCAGAAGAAACATTGAAATCTTGATAGTATTATTTAATATATATAATTTAATAGACTATAAGTATCTTGGTAAAGGGAACAATAATTGTTACTTACATACCTTCATCGTCACCCTTGAGTTTGGCTTCCAGTTCTGCTATCTTGTGTCTTATTTCAAGCATTGAGAGTTGCACAATATCCCTGTCATTAAAAAATGTTTTTATTAATTATGAATCAATTAAAAATAATGTGACAAAAATGATACATAGTAATCTACCACTATTTCAGTAATACTTTATTGTAAGATATCATTTATGGATGATTGAGAATCAATAATCAGGCAAATGAAGGTTTGATTAACCAGTTCCAGGTGGGTTCAAGTAAACACTAAAACTCAAAGCCCCCAGGCAACCACTGAACCATTTACTATTAACTTAAATGTATAATTCCGAAGAAGCTGGTTATCCCACCAAAATTAGGAGTTGAAAATCATTAGAAAAAAAAGAACAATCAAGGCAATAGATAAAAACAACCTGAAACAAAGAGGAAAAACGAAACACTAAACACACACGTACATAGAAATTTTTTAAAAAGCATTTCAGAAGTTAGCTATTTAGGCTATTAAGAAACAGCCTGGGAAAAGCAGTAGAGGATGTCCCAAGTACTGGAGCCCTTGCACCCACCTGGGAGGCCTGGAGGAAGCTCCTGGCTCCTGGCTCCAAATCGGCCCAGCTCTGGCTGTAGTGGCCATTTGGGGATGGAAGACCTTTATCTCTGTCTCCCCCTCTCTCTGTCTGTAACTCTACCTCTCAAATAAATAATTTTTTTTTTAAAAAAAGCACATTAATTCTCACAACACCATATGACAACAGATAATTATTCAGTAAGTATTTTGAATACCTATATAGGCTAAGTGTTGAAGATGCTACAGTGGACAAGTGACTAGAACAATAGCAATTATACCAGCTAACTTCCACTGAATGCTTATTACAAGCCAGTTAAGTGTTTTATTATACTTTTCACTCCATCCTGGCAACAGGATTGAGATAGGTAAGATCTAACTACTTGTATTCCAGTCTTAGAATTGAGAAAACTGAGGCTTAAAGTGGTTAATAGTGATAAGAGCTGGTATTTGAATTTACGAAGGATCTCTTCAAAATACTGCTCTAATCCTTTACTGCCTCAGAACATACTGGCTTCCGAATATTCATACTTTGGTACAAGACCAAGAAATAGGCCCACAATTAAAACAGCTTGATGGAGCTACAATGGACGAAAGCATAGATGCTATTCCACATACACAGGAGGTTAAGTCTCATAAGGCCTGTTCGTAGGGTTTGCAGTATCTTTGAAAAATACTTAAAATGTCTCAAAGATTTAATGTAAAGTACCAAAAGTGTTTTAAAAAGCATATAGGAAGGATTCCATTTTAACCAAATGTCACCAATTCTGAAGTTCTTCTAAAGGGAGGAAAGGAATGCATAATTAAATAAAATCTTTGGAATTTTAAACAGAAACCAAACATATAAAGAAATGTTAGATTCTTGAGAGGATAAATTACCCTGATTGATGTTAGACAATGCATACATGTAGTATATAATGGAACATCACATAGTACCCCATAATAACCACAATTTTACAACTGCTAAATTTTTAAAAATAATTTGAAAAATTATGAAAAATTAAAAATAAAACTACAGGGGCCAGCGCTGTGGCGCAGCAGTTAACACCCTGGCCTGAAGCGCCAGCATCCCATATGGGCACCGGTTCTAGTCCCAGCTGTTCCTCTTCTGATCCAGCTCTCTGCTGTGGCCTGGGATAGCAGTAGAAGATGGCCCAAGTGCTTGGGCCCCTGCACCTGCATGGGAGACCGGGAAGAAGCCCCTGGCTTCAGATCGGCTCAGCTCTGGCCGTTGCAGCCATCTGGAGAGTGATCTATCGAATGGAAGACCACTCTCTCTCTCTGCCTCTCCTCTCTCTGTGTAACTCTGACTTTCAAATAAATAAATAAATCTTTTTAAAAAAAATAAAACTACCATATGATCCAGAAATCCCACTGTTTTGCATATATCCAAAGGATATAAAGCCAGTACGTTAAAAAGATATCGACATCCCCATATTCTTTGCAGCCAAGATAAGGAATCAACACGAAGTGCCCATTAGTGTATGAATGGGTAAACAAAATGGTGTTTATACACAATGGAAGACTCTTCAGCCCTCAAACAAGGAGGAGAGGCTGTCATGTGGGACGACATGGATGACTCTGGAGGACATTAGGAAATGAGCCAGGCATAGAAGGACAAATAACAGCATGATCTCACTTATATGTGGAGTGTATAAAAGTCATAAAAATAGCAGGAAAATATTGACTATAAAAGATGAGGAGGTAAGAAGATTGAAGAGATGTTGGTCAAAGGACACAAAATTTCAGCTAGGAGGAACAAGTTCAAGAGATCTATCGTGGGGCCAGCACTGTAGCATAGTGGGTGAGGCCGCGGCCTGCAGTGCCAGCACCCCTTATGGGCACCAGTTTGAATACCGACTGCTCCACTTCTGATCTGGCTCTCTACTTGGGCCTGAGAAAGCAGTAGAAGATGGCCCAAGTCCTTGTGCCTCTGCACCCATGTAGGAGACCCAGAGGAAGCTCCAGATCGGCTCAGCTCCAGCCATTGCGGCCATCTGGGGAGTGAACCAGCAGATGGAAGACCTCTCTCTGCCTCTCTGTGAGTCTGCCTTTCAAATAAATAAATAAATCTTTAAAAAAAAAAAAAAAGAGAGAGATCTATTGTACATGATGCTGACTACAGTTAATAACAATCTGTATATTTGAAAAGTGCAACTGTTCTCACCATTAAAATTTTTTTAAAGATTTTCTTTATTTATTTGAGAGGTAGAGTTACAGACAGAGAGGGAGAGACAGAGAGAAAAGTCTTCCATCCACTGGTTCACTCCCCAACTGGCCGCAATAGCCAGAGCTGAACCAATCTGAAGCCAGGAACCAGGAGCTTCTTCCATGTCTTCCATGTGGGTGCAGAGGCCCAAGGACTTGGACCGTCTTCTACTGCTTTCCCAGCCCATAGCAGAGAGCTGAATTGGAAGAGGAGCAACCAGAACTAGAACCGGCGCCCATATGGGATGCAGGCACTGCAGGCTGGAGCTATAACCTGCTGTACCACAGTGCTGGCCCCTCCATTAAAACATGGGGCTAGTGTTGTGACACAGCAGGTTAAGCCACTGCCTGCCATACCAATATTCCATATGGGCCCCGGTTTGCATCCTGGCTGCTCCACTTCCAATCCAACTCCCTGCTAATGGCCTAGGAAAAGCGGCAGAAAATTGCACAAGTGTTTGGGCCCCTGCCACCCACATGGGAGGCCCAAATGAAGCTTCTGGCTCTTGGCTTCAGCAGGGCCCAGCCCTGGCCATTGGGGCCATCTGGGGAGTAAAGAAGCAGATGGAAGATCTCTCTCTCTCTCTCTCGCTCTCTCTCTCTCTATCTTCCACTCTGACTTTCAAATAAACAAAACAAATATTTTTTTTTTAAATGATAAACATGTGGGGCTGGCATTGTGGCATAGCAGGTTAAGCTTCCACCTGTGATGCCGGCATCCCATGCGGGCGCCAGCTCAAGAACAAGCTGCTCCACTTCCAATCCAGCCCCCTGCTAATGCTCCTGGGAAAACAGCATTAGATGGCCCAAGTCCAGAAGAAGCTCCCTGCTCCTGATTTCGGCCTGACCAGCCCATTGCGGTCATATGGGGAGTGACCAGCAAATGAAAGCTGGCTTGCTCTCTCTTTCTCTCTCTCCTCTTCCTCCTCTCCTATAGCTCTTTCAAATAAATAAAAAATACATATTTAAAAAAATAAAAATGTGAGGTAATTACACATTAAATACCTTTACCTAGCCATCACATTCATATATTCACAGTGTATACATATTCATTCATATACTCACAGTATATACACATCAAAATATCATGATGTACACCAAAACCAGTTTTGTCAATTAAAAATTTAACTTTCTAGGGGCCAGCATTGTGACACAGGGGGTTAAGCCACTGCCTTGTAGGCATCCCACATGTGAACCAGTTGGGGTCATGGATGCTTCACTTCCAATTCAGCTCCTTCCTAGTGCTCCTGGGAAAGCAGCAGAAGTCTGCCCAAGTGCTTGGGCCCCTGCCCACCCAACCCAGGTGGGAGACCTGGAGTTCCAGGCTCCTGGCTCCAACCAGGGATTGCAGCCATTTGGGGAGTGAATTAGCAGATGGAAGCTCTCTCTCTCTCTCTCTCTAGCTCTGTCCTTTCAAATAAATAAGTCTATTAAAAGTTATCTTTTTAGAATGTAAAAACAAATACAACTCTACAAAAATTGAAACAAATGTGACTTGACTAGCAAACTGGTAGATTATCTGTACAGAAGTTCCAAGTAACATAAAAACAGGTAGTTTGCTCATTTCGAATGATAAAGATGAAAAGAACTGCAAAATAAATTCAAACTTTCTGCCAAAAGCAAAAAACCACCAAACACGTATTTTAGGATCATAATACATGGAGATAATACACGTCACTTAATTTGATCCTGAAAGCCTGCTTATTTAAAATAGTGAGTGCTTAGTTAGAGTCAAATGAACCTTTCACATAAAATACTGTTTGGGGAAGTCGCTCGATGTGTCCGGACATTAATCACGACGCAGGTCTCAAATCCACCTCCGTGGCTTCAGCCTTGAGAGGCTGTGGGGCAGGAACCGGCGCTCGCGCCCAGGGCGGTCAGGACGCCACAGCGCGCGCCACCCCCACTCACTTCATGTGGATTTCTTCCAGCAACTCCAGCTTAAGGCGGTCGGTGCTCACACCGTCGAAGTTTTCACCTCTCCCCTCCCCCATAGCGGCCGCTCAGAGACCTTCGGCGCAGGTTACAGCACACCCCGAAGTGGGTAAGAAGGCCTTGCGAGGCACCGTCCCCAAGGCGAAAGGCCTCGCAGTGGTGGGCTCCCGGCAGCCCTGGCGCGTCACGCCGCGACGTCACAGGGCGTCGCCCCGGGCTGCCACGGGTGCCTGGGGAACTCCCCTGGAGAAGCGCTCGAGATCTCCGGGCGGGAAAACTTCTGCCTCACTGCTTTCCGCTCGCTGGTGGAGGGAAATAGCGTGGCTTGTAATGGGCTGGAGAACGTCTGCTTCCTGTTTCTTGGCTTCTTTTGGCATTAGTTTTCCTGAACACTGCTGAGTTTGCGCCGAGCCCCGGTTAGGGTTAGGGAAACGCAGGATTCAAGAGTGGCTGCGCCTGCCTTTGCTTCAATTGAAGGCACAGTAGAGGCTCCGGAAGCGCGGGAGGAGGCGCAGGCCTCAAAAAGGCAACAAGTTGAGCCCAGATCCCACAGAGAAGCGGAGGTTGTAGTCCCAGCAGCTGGGCTTTCAATCCAACTCCCTGCTGATGTGCCTGGGAAAGCAGGAGCATTAGCACCTAGGCCCCTGCACCTACGTGGGACACTCAGGAGAGTTCCTGCCCAAAAGAACTGCCCAAAGTTTCTGCCTTTGAAATAAGTAAATCTTAAAAAACAAACTAACAGGCCGACGCCTCGGCTCACTTGGCTGATCCTCCGCCTGCAGCACCGGTACCCCAGGTTCTAGTCCCTGTTGGGGCGCCGGATTCTGTCCCGGTGGTTGCTCCTCTTCCAGTCCAGCTTTCTGCTGTGGCCCAGGAAGGCAGTGGAGGATGACCTAAGTGCTTGGGCCCTGCACCTGCATGGGAGACCAGGAGGGGGCACCTGGCTCCTGGCTTCAGATCGGCGCGGCTGCGTAGGCCTTAGCAGCCATTTGGGGGAAGACCTTTTTCTCTATCTCTCTCACTAACTCCCCTGACAAAAAAAAAAAAAAAAAAAAAAAAAAAAAAAAAAGCCAAGAAAGAAAAAAAAAAACTAACAAAAAAATAATGAACTCTGGACTTCTGAGGCTCCACTCCGGATTATTCTGTCTTGGAATTTAGGAAAATTGGTGAACCACTTCAAAGCTGCGCTCCACAACTTGAAATCTCATTATATTTTTACTCACAAATTTTGTATTCTACTCCTTATATATCTGTTTTTATGTCCTCCATCATCTCCATCTTCGAATAGAGAGATGCAATCAGTGCTATAATTTGTTGGTTTATTATTACTTGAGAAAGAAAGAATGCTTCCATCTGCTGGTTAATTCCCCAACAGTCAGGGGTGGGCCAAGACAAAGCCAGGAGCCTAAACTCAATCCAGGTCTACCAGGTGTGTGAGAGGGACCCAACCACTGGAGCCATCAACACTGTCTCCCAAGGTGTGCCGTAGCAGGAAGATGAAATCAGAAGCAGAGCCAGAAATGAAACCCAGGCACTCAACTATGTGGTGTCTTAACAGCTGCATCAAACACCTGCTCCAGCTGTTATGGTTTTGTCTCCTCTGATATATACCTAAACCATAGCCTTTGAAGTGTCAAAAGCCATTAGGATGCTTTTGTTCCCCAATTCTTCTGTAGCACCCCCCCTCCTCCTTTGGTTCAAAGAGAAACAAAAATCACTTTCCCTGCCACACCTCTAATGCCACTTTCAAATCACTACTCTTTCATCCACATGGAAAAAGCCTGTACCTTGAGAGTGGATATTTAGCCTATCGGTCAAGATTCCTGTTATATGACATTGTAATCTCATGTCTGATTACCTGGCCTCAGTAGTTGGCCCTGGCTCCTAACACTTTTCCTGCCAGTGCAGACCCTAGGAGACAGTGGTGATGGCTCAAATATTTGGGCCCCTGAGACTTAAATGAGACCTGGATTGAGTTCCAGGCTCCTGGCTAGTCATGGCCATTGCAGGCACTTGGAGAATGAGCTAGCAGATTGGACCTGTCACTCTTCATGTCCCTCTGTGTGTCTTTTGTGTGTCTTTGCTCTTTTTTTTTTTTTTTTTTTTTGACAGGCAGAGTGGACAGTGAGAGAGAGACAGAGAGAAAGGTCTTCCTTTGCCGTTGGTTCACCCTCCAATGGCCGCCGCGACCAGCGCGCTGCGGCCAGCGCACCGCGCTGATCCGATGGCAGGAGCCAGGTACTTCTCCTGGTCTCCCATGGGGTGCAGGGCCCCAGCACTTGGGCCATCCTCCACTGCACTCCCTGGCCACTGCAGAGAGCTGGCCTGGAAGAGGGGCAACCGGGACAGAATCCGGTGCTGCAACCGGGACTAGAACCTGGTGTGCTGGCGCCGCAAGGTGGAGGATTAGCCTAGTGAGCCGCGGCGCCGGCATGTCTTTGCTTCTAACATAGTAACTCCCCCCAAACACTAGCACCACATACATACCTGATCCACATGTGTTCTCAGTATAACATCATCTGTATCAACTCTTCCTGCTTGCTTCATCCTGGGAAATCATTTGTTATCTACTGACTATGACAACAAAAATGTCTTTTCACTCTAAATCTTAGCTGACCCCACTCTACCACCTCATCCTTCAATTCTCAACTCTCATCACTTTGAGCACAGCCACACAATCCTGTCATCACTCAAAGCAGCTTTACCTCAGACACCTCAAACTCACCGACCACTCTATAGTAAAGCCACCTGTTCTTTCAGCTCCCAACATGCTTAATTCCTACACAACAGTGTCTTATTAACTATGGGGATCATTCAGAGAGTGTCTTTTTTCTCTCTCTCTCTTTTCTTTAAGATTTATTTATTTAAAAGGCAGAGTTACAGAGAGAGCTCTTCCAACTACTGCTTTCACTCCTTAAATGGCCACAATGGCTAGGGTTGTGCCAGGCCAAATCTAGGAGCCTGGGACTCCATCTGGCTCTCCCACATGGGTAGAAGATAACCACATACTTGAGCCATCTTCTGCTGCTTTCCCAGGCACATTAGCAGGGAGTTAGATTCAAAGCAGAGCAATGAGGGACCCAACAACTGCTTGGTATCATACACAGCAGCTTAATTCACTATGGCACAATGCTGCTACCCCAGAGAGCTTTTGTTTGTTTGTTTGTTTGAAATGTAGTCATTGCATTTCTTAGAAAGGCAGTCAGACTTACAGATTGACAGAGAGATCTTCCATCTGCTGGTTCACTCCCCAACTAGCCATCAAGGCCAGAGATGGGCAGATCCAAAGCCAGGAGCCAGGAGCTTCCTCCAGCATGTGGGTGCAGGAGCCTAAGCACTTGAGTCATCTTCCACTGCTTTCCCAGGTGCGTTAGCAGGGAGCTAGATTAGAAGTAGCCAGGATTCCAACCGGTGCCCATATGGGATGCTGGCACCACAGGCGGTGGCTTTTCCTGCTACACCACAGCGCCATCTCTGACCCAGGGAGCTTTTTAGTGTGTAAATTATGGGACTATGTCTGATCCTACTTGAATCAGTAGCATAATACACTCTAGCACTTGGCTGGCTTGCAAAATTGTCATCTAAATTTAAACAGAATAGATTAAGGGGGTGGAGCAGAGAAATTTTTCCCCTAAGAGTAACTGTCTCCTCCAAGGAGCAGCCTCCAGAGTGATCAAGTTATTCCTTTATATGTGACAAATTTTTGCATGGAATGTATTTTTAAGACATTATTTCAGGCTTCTTTTTTCATTGATCTTTCTGTTTAAAGTGCTTTTTATTTTTCTTTTGAATCTTTCAAATATATTATGAATGTAAAAGTGGTTCATTTAAAAAAACCTCTTCAGAAATCAATGAAACGGGCTCTTTTAAGTTTTCCTGTTGCTGAGGTAAAAACCAAATAGCAAAATCTATTAGGAAATTTGTTTAAAAACACCTAGTTAGGTTAAACACACACACAGAGAGAGAGAGAGAGAGAGAGAGAGAGAAACTACTTTATGTATGAGAGGAACATCATTTATCCAACTTAACCGAGTAGAATATAAAATGATTTCTAGGTTACAAGCCCTAAATTTTATTTTTCTTAGTGTTAAGTAGAACACCACTCACAGTTATCAATTCCAGGGAAAGACTCTAAACACTTCTGCCTATTATATTTGGTACCAGTTACCACGAAAAAACAACACGAGCAGGCATTAAATGGAACAATGCAGTTACACAGACAAGAAACAAAGCCAGATTAGCTCCAGTGGTGTTCGTAGGTGCCTCGTGACTAGGAGGTTCTCCAGGCAGCTGCCACAGAGCATTTTGGCTCTATACACTTCTCTTGTGCTGCAGGAATACCCTCTCCTGCACATGGAGTCTGAAATACTTAAAGCTGGGGCTGTACCTGAGGGCCATGGACATATGCCTAAGGCTACCAAAGGCTCAGAAACTCATTGAGCCTGAAACATAAGCACAGGCTGTGTGGGCCCTTTACTCTAGATAAGGAAGTGTTCTAGGCTCAAGGCCCATATTTATGTGGCTAATCAGTGGTGAAAAGACTGCCTTTAGTTTACTCTAAAATACCTATGAAGATATAAAACAAGAAAAAACTCATACCATCAACAAAATCTAGGATGATGATACATTACTAATCTCTTGGGAAATGTTCTACTACCTATCAAACTAATGGAATTGTAATTTAAAAAATACCAACAATATTAAGCAGCTGGAATCAGAGGAAATCTATAAAGACCTTTCGTCCTTCCCTATCTACATCCGTTTATGAAAAAGACTGACCTCACAGTTACTGTAGTTCATAGTTCTCTCATTTTTGAGGCTGCTATGTGACCTCTTCTTTTCCATCATTATTACTTGGACAAATACTTAACCTCTCTGTGTCCCAGTTTCCTATTCTGTAAATATGGATTCTACTATTCTATCACTCATAGGAATGTTGTGAGGATAAAATGAGTTAACACAGATTCAGTAGCCCTAATCTGAAAAATCCAAAATCTGAAACATTCCCAAACTTGAAGATGTTTCAGTGCTGACCTGTTGCTACACATGGAAAATTTCACACCTGACCTCATGTGACAGGTTCTAATAAAAATGCAGGCGCACTGAAACTATTATGTAAAATTACGATCCCGCTTTATATAAGGTATAAATGAAACAAATGAATTTCTTTTTTTTTTTTTTTTCTTCTGATAT